AGGGGGAGAAATGCCAGATGTAGGTGATGGGGAGGAAGGCAGCAAATCACACTGCCATGTGTGTTCCTATGCAACAATTTTGCATGTTCTTCACATGTACCCCAAAACCTAAAATACAATAAAATAAATAAATGGGGAAAAAAAATAAAATAAAATAAAATGTAAAAAAGAAAATGTGGCACATATATACCATGAAATACTATGCAGCCATAAAAAAGGATGAATTTATGTCCTTTGCAGGGACATGGATAAAACTGGAAACCATCATTCTCAGCAATTGACACAAGAACAGAAAACCAAGCACCACATGTTCTCACTCGTAAGTGGGTATTGAACAGTGAGAACACATGGACACAGGGAGGAGAACATCACATACTGGGGTATGGGGGGTGGGGGCCTAGGGGAGGAATAGCAGGGAGTGCGGGGACTGGGGAGGGATAACATTAGGAGAAATACCTAATATAGATGACAGGGTGATGGATGCAGCAAACCACCACCATGGCACACGTATACCTATGTAACGAACCTGCACAATCTGCACATGTACCCCAGAACTTAAAGTATAACAAATTTTTTAAAAATAAAATTAAAATTAAAAAATAAATTTTAAAAAGACCATTTCAGCTTTTTCCAGTGTTCCCTTTTCTAGTGGGGATCAGCCCTAGTCCTGGGGCCAAGATATAGAACAAAACACCATCCTGTCCCCAGCTGGGACCACACAGTATCCGTCCTCCCTGCTTTGATAATAGAACTCACCAAGTTTCAGCTGGCAGCCATGTGGCCACGCGCATGAACTCTGAACAACAGAATATGAGAAGTGATGTGCCCCACCTCTGGGTCGTGCCCTTGAAAAGAAATGTGTAAGTACTTCCCTGACCCTTTCTATTTCTCTTGTTATAAGTAAAATTTTGATGCCACAAAAGAAATGGCACTGGAAGATAAATCCTCTCTCAGCAAGGCAGTTTACTTCTATGAAAGGGTGTGGCTCATGGATGGAGCAATGGCACCCGCACATTTGGGCGAGTGAGGAAAAAGGGTACTTATCCCTGATGGGGGTCGCCCCTACTGCTGTGTTGTTCCCCTATTGGCTAGGGTTAGACCACACAAGCTACGCTAATCTCAACTAGCTATTTTAAAGAGAGCAGGGGTCCGAGCTGGAGTGGCAGGGTGGGTGCTTTGGTGGGAAGCATGGTTATAGGTAGATCAGAGCAGGTAGCCAGGAGTGACCTAGGTCAAAGAAGGTGACTGAAGCAAGTGACTGGAGCAAGTGACTGGGATGAGCCAGGACACAGCCGGGGACCGGGGGAACAGATGTGAACTACTGATTAGAACCAGTGGAGAAGGTTGTTTAGTGGAACTACAGGGAAATTAAACTTTAAAATGAAGGACAAATAAATGAACATGATGACATACTGATTCTGTGAAGAGAAATTTACAACTCATTGTATCCAATACCCTCTTGCTGGGGAAATGACAAGAATTGATCATCGGCCTTGGACTCTGAGGTGGACACGCTACTTGGAGGACTCCACTGACACCCTGGCACCCCGGACCACCTCCTTCTGCACGGTGATACAAGGAAGAGAGAAACTTCTATCTCAGTTAAGCCATTATATCTCAGGGTTGATTTGTTACAGCAGCCTGGCTAATACCCTAAGTAATACAAAACTTACATTGAGAATGCCTTTCCCACCTTTTGGTATTTGGGGAGCAAAGGAAAATAATTGGGGGTTGAGGGAAGGGAGTAGAAGAGAAATTGACGACGACTCACTTCCAGACCCAATTCTGCCACAGAAGGCTGGGGCTTCTTCCTACTTGTACTCATATGAAATAACTTCAAGAAAAATTGCTGGTATGCTATTGTTAATTTCTAAGGGTTCATATAAATGTTAAGTGTTATAAATGTAGCATATTTCTCGAAGAGTACCAACAAAATTCTTAGGTGGCTGCCTCTGGAGATAGGGACTGAAGGATAGGAAGACAGCACCGGAGGAAAAGAACTCACTTTTGGATGCTTTCGGAATGTTATTTCACGTGTAGGTATTCAAAAATAATAACATTTAAACCTTAAGAAGTCAACATCCTAAAATTAATTTTTAGAGAGGACTGAACTCAGCTATTAACCCTTTATCTCATATGAATGATTTTCACCCCTTTTGGGTGACCATTGTCCACAGTGGTACAATGAGTTAAAAATGTCGCATTTTTTAAGGCCACTGTTAGCAATGGATGTGAAAGCAAACTTCCCCTTGGACATATGTATGCATAGCTTTCAAACAGCACAAGAAAAATCAGGCCTTTCCTCAATGGATTTTTTTTTTGTTTGTTCCCAGTGGAAGCAGAAATCAGCAGCAGCACAGAATCCTTGAAACTTTCCCTCCTTTCCCCCACATCATTATTTTATAAAGGTCATCCCACACTGAAGGGGTAGCCAAGTTAGGGTGACGGCAGCTCTGCCATGGCCCTCATTACGCTGATCTGTGCTGTCTTCCATCCCTTCATCAGCAGCAAAGTCAATATTTCATCTGGGAGCTAAAATTAAGTCACTACCCCTCCTGTGAGCGACACTACTCCTGAAATAAAAATTTTACAACATTAGGTTGGAGGAGGATCACTTAGCATTTGAAAGCACTTCCCCTGTGACCTTGAGCTTTTATCGCTTGGGAGCCAAAATAAAATCTCTGAGGCAAGATTTATGAATAAATAATTAACCATGAAAATAAAAGCAGCACTGAAAAAGAAGTAGGTCCCTTCCACTTACAGCCAAAGTTGGAGAGAGAGAGAGAGAGAGAGAGAAACTTAGGAGGAG